ATCAATGCCTTCACAGTTCTGAAGAAAAACAATTTCCAACATAGAATTCAATACCCAGGCGGACTACCAATCAAGAATAAGAATACCCTGAAAATATTTTCAAATCAATCAGTTCTCAAGCTATTAACCTCCCACAAATTTCTTTCATAGAAAGCTATGAGGAGATTTTTTTTCCCCCAAAATGAAGAAGTAAACTAGGACAGAATACCTTATGGGACATAAGAAACAAGAGATAACAATACAAGAGAGAAGCAGAGAACCACCAGGATGATGGTGAAGAGGGTTCCCAGTATAACTACTATGCACCAAATGCAGAGTGTAATGAGTCCAGATTGAAGCAAGTTCCAAAAGTTGTGGCCAGGAACAGTGCAGCCCCATATTTACAGCCAGCTTTTCCTCCAGAGTGAAGTGTTAAGCATACTAAAATTAAGAGAACAATCACTTTTATTGGTGGCATCCATCACGGTGACAGTGTATGGCTAAGACTAAATGACAAGACAATAAAGAAATATGTTCCTATCAGAATGCTTACATCAAAGCCTGTTTTCTCTGTTTTAATCAATGTCCTGCCAAGAGCTATCTCCATCCTATAAACTACAATGCAGAATGAAGCACAAATCTGCTTAAACAAAAGGAATTCTCCTATGTACACAGTAGCTTATATATACATGGAATATTTCTGAAGGATTCTTTTTTTTTTTTTGATACTGAATGTTTATTCAAGACTAGTATGCAGAACATTTACAAACAGTCCCATGGAGGACTCACAAATATCTTAAATTCAGGATGTGGATTTAACATTCACAGTGCATAAGGCGAAAGGTATATCAACTATGTATCTGCAACTTCATGTGAAAGAGAATTTTACTTTAGCAAATACTTCCTTTACATAGAGGAAAATGTCCTTAAACATATCTACTTTAATTTTAGTATACTCAGAGTAGGGAAAAAACAGTGTTTCCTTTTATACAGGTCTCAAGAATTAAATAAAATTGACTCCATAGATCATGGTTAAGAAACACATGGTAAAGAATGGTTTCAAAATACTTATATTTTTGTTTTCAATTAAACTCCCCCAAATTGATTTTCTTTAACAACAAAGAGTCTTTATTCCACTTGATAACATTTTTCATGTTAAGCGATATTATATGCTTGTCCTCTTTAAACATTTAAAACAATTAGGACATAGAGGCATTATCTAAAGTTTCAAACTGATAGAGAAGTCAGTTTACACATCTTCGTCTTATGAATAGTGAATAAAACAAGGTACATTCTGCTGTGAATGTAATGAGAAAAAGTACTCTTAGCAATAAAGTAGCCCTCCCTCTTTACCATTACTTTAATTCCATCACACAGAAGGCAAAGAAAACAATTCCAATACTTCAATATCTGCTAAGGATGATCTATGGCCCTTGGAGTATATGTATGCGTGGACACACCCCACATGCACATCTATGTAAGTATGTCTGTCTGTATGTATTTAATCAATACAACTGGAGGAATTACATCCAACCATGAAAAAATACAATAAAAGCAATAAATGAAAAATACTAAGTGAATAAAAGTTAACATAAGCCATAGGAGATTTCAGAGAAGGGACAGGCCCGTGGATAAGAGATTAAGACTTCAAGGTGAAAGTGACATTTGTTCTGAACCCTAAAGGACAACTATAACTGTGAAAAGCTGGGAGATGAAGGTAGGATATTCCAGCTTCAGAACTGTGAATTAAGATTTTTAAAGATGCATGCTCACCAAAGCATTTCCGGAAGAAAAAAATGGAAGAGCATAAGCGGAAGGGGGAAAAGAGGAATCTATGGAGGAGACCTTATATGCCTTAACTTTGAACTCTATTCTGGAATTACCAATGAACCATTAATGGAATTTTAAACCAAGAAGTGATATGATCAAAGCAGTCCCTTAAGGTCAAAAGGCAGGTATGCAGGCAATACTGGATAAGGAAGAGGCTGAAGGTAGTAAGTCATAATCAGAATGGTTTAGGAGAAAGTGACAGATTTAATATACTTTTGTTTATACTACTGGCATACAAAGGACAGGGAGGAATGCCAAAAACTCTCAGCCTATCACAGGTATGACTCACTTAACAACAATGTGGTTTTTGTAAATCCATTAATACCCAGAGATATTTTGATCTTTTGATTCTCAGTAATTCAGGGCCCACACTTATTGGTGAACTTCAGCTTCCTTACCAGAGGGCTAAGATCTCTAAAGCAGTATATATGTAATAGTGTACCTAGCTTCTTTAAGATACCCCAGGGCTAAATGTGAATCTGTATCCCCTAGCAGTGGCTCTCAAGCTTTTTACTGAGCCTAAGAATTACCAGGGAAGCTATGTAAAATGCAGATTTCTAATCCTCATTTTAGACCTACAGAATATATGTTTTTTTAAGAGGTATCCCAGGTAATTCCTCAAGTCCACCTTAGACAAGTCATTTAAGCTCCCTAGCTTTGCTACCATTATCTGTAAAATAGGTACAATATCACTGTCTTACAGAGGTATGAGAATTAAATGATATAATATGTATTATTAAGTATCCAGGAATAGCCCTGGCACTTTGTAGATGCTAATATGATAGCTCTACCTTCTCCTTTACATGTTAATTTTGGATTTACTGATACTGGGTTTCTTAAGACCAGAGGATAGTTTCCCAGTAGACTTACAGAGTCCCTATTTGTTCTATTAACTAATAAAAGAATATGGCACCTTAGGAGAAGCTTTTCTCTTCCTCTTTCTTTTCTGCTGCAAATAAGGTAGTTATATGTGCTTTTCTTCTGTCTTTTCTTACAAAAAAAGACTGGCCTTCAAACTTGGATCAAACAAGCAACACAGAGAAAGTAAGCCAAAATGAGTGAAGAAAGAACTGTTAGGCCCATCCACTTCCAGAACTCCTCCCTTCAACTTTTCTCCTCTTCTTGCCAGTTTCCTGGCAAATTGAACAAGGTTGTGATGGTTAAGAGTTGGGGCTAGACACAGGGGTGCTGTAGGTGCTATCACCCTTCCAGCATGTGCTTAACCTCCTGGTTTGCAGAGGGCAATGGCATGTATTCACTTGGATGCTAAAGACAAGCCCTTTTCTTGGCCAGGGGGTCTGACTACATGAGGCAGGACACTGTACAAGAGGCCTCACATCTGACTCTCATTTAGAGTCCAGAAGGCCCACTCCTTCAGCCATATCCTACACCCTGGCCTTTTAGTTACTTCTAGGAGGTCTTGTTGGTATATTAAGAAAGGAAAATAGGGTCAAATCCTAGCTTCACCACTGACTTAGCTGTGTAACACTGAACAAGTTATTTAAGCCCAAATTCAATTTTCTCAAGTTAATTTGAAGCTGTTCTGTAGGCAGTGGGGAACTGATGGTTTTTGAGGAGGAAAGTAACAAACAAAATTAGCTCCCTTAACCTGCTGTATAGCACAGGGAGCTCAGCTCAGAGCTCCATGATGGCCCAGTTGGGTGGGATGGCGGGGGGGTGGGGGGGAGGAGGGAGAGAGGTCCAAGAGGGAGGGGATGTGTGTATGCGCATGGCTGATTCACTTCACCGTGCAGCAGAAACCAACACAACATTGCAAAGCAACTATACTCCAATAAAAAATTTAACCAAAAAAAATAGCTCTCTTCTCCCAAAACAGTGTCCCTCCAAAAAAAACTAAACACAGACTAATTTTTTAATTTACATTTTTTCTGTTAAAATAAAAAACTAGAGTTAAATTCTCAAAGTCTAAATTAGACTAAATATAAAACTGCTATACAACGCACTGAAAGGATTTATAGTTAGCATCCCTCAAAAGTATCTAGTCATCTTCCACCTTTTTCCTTTTTCCTAAATTCATTCTGCTCCAGTCTTCACTATCATCACATGCACTTTATTCCATCAAACATCATTTTTCAGGAACAACCTACCTGAATAATCATTAAGCCTCTTTAGAGCTTTCCCAAACTTAAACTTTGTCGTTTTGATTATATACCCCAAAGCATTACTTTCCTCACTTTTTTTGCTTAGTACCAGAATGTTCTAAAAAGAAACAATGAAAGTTGTTTATTTCCCTAAAAAGAAAGATCAGTATATTCAATGGCTATTAAGTTAACCACTTAATAAAACACATCAAAAACTACTCATCCTTATGTTAATTAACTGAAACTAGAACATAATGAATTAGTTAACCTAATACTTTGCCATTTATTTCATGCTTACAAGATTACGCACAACCTAAGTGTCCATCATCGGATGAATGGATAAAGAAGATGCGGCACATATATACAATGGAATATTACTCAGCCATAAAAAGAAACGAAATTGAGCTATTTGTAATGAGGTGGATAGACCTAGAGTCTGTCATACAGAGTGAAGTAAGTCAGAAAGAGAAAGACAAATACCGTATGCTAACACATATATATGGAATTTAAGAAAAACAAATGTCATGAAGAACCTAGGGGTAAGACAGGAATAAAGACACAGATCTACTAGAGAATGGACTTGAGGATATGGGGAGGGGGAAGGGTAAGCTGTGACAAAGCGAGAGAGTGGCACGGACATATATACACTACCAAACGTAAAACAGATAGCTAGTGGGAAGCAGCCGCATAGCACAGGGAGATCAGCTCAGTGCTCTGTGACCACCTATAAGGGAGGGATAGGGAGGGTGGGAGGGAGGGAGACGCAAGAGGGAAGAGATATGGGAACATATGTATATGTATAACTGATTCACTTTGTTATAAAGCAGAAACTAACAACAACAACAAAAAAGAAATCAAAATGGCTTCTCGTAACTTGTTTGCTTTCGAAATACTTCACATTTCAACCCCATATCCATACAAAGAGAGAAAATCCAAACATACTCTCCTTACCTAAAATCAGCAGAGAAGGCTAAAAAGCATTATTTAGGACTTTTTTAGACCTTGAAAAACAGTTACACTCCCAATGTGTATCTAAATTACAAATCAGTTTTTATCCTGTGACACTGCTTCAACTTAAGTTCATCATAGTTAAATTGACTGGGCTACTGCTTCATCTTTCAAGTCAGATGGAGATTCTTTTGCATCAAGGCTCTTATTCAAGATTTCTTCTCCAGCAAAATTGACTGTTAAATTAGGTAGAAGTTCTCCAAGACTACATGGTATTGTGGTTCTCAATCTTTGTTCCACTGGAGAAAACCTAATTAGTGGTGAAAGAGACCGTTTTCTTTCACCAAGGGACATGCGTGAAGATGGTTTTGTATAGTCAGCGTGCAAATCATGAGTGCCCAAACAGTTAAGCATATCATCAGTTTGCATGTATTGGGAAGTAAGGCTCAGTTCAGGTTTGTCTTTCAAGTGTTTCAGGATTAGAGAGGCAAATTTCTTCCCTTTGCTTGGACAGACATTTCTTCAGAGCTTCATATCCACTGCAAGTAGCCTGTGAATTAAAGTCTGATTCTGGAGTAGTTTGTCTTCCTTCCACAACACCTTCTGGGAAAATGCCACTGTGCATAGGACTATTTGCTTCCAGTTTAAAATTGGCCTCTGTACTACTGGAGCTATTAAGACTTAAGTGACCAACTTCTTCTGGAAGAATTTCATGTAATATGCCAAAATCACTATCTTTAAAACTAGAACTAATTCCACTTGATACCTGAAAAGAGTTCCATAACATACTTTTATGCATGGAAAGATCTCTGTAAAAAGCTTTCGAGTGGTCTGATATTTTAATATACTATTCTTCACTGCTACCTATCACATCTCTCCTACTGCCTACAGCAGGGGAGAATGTCTCTATTTGGCTAGTTTCTAAAAGCTTGTTCTGTAAAGCTGTACATTCCAAATCTTGCTTACAAATTATGTCCTTATTTAACAAATCTGACAGATTTTGTGTTGTTGGTTCACCTATGTAACTGGTCACCACAGGTTTCTGAAGCACACACTTAAGGCAATCTGAAACAACTTTCTCTTCAGGCAAATGAGAATGGCTAGAATCGGACACAGTGGTTACTGAGAAAAAACTGGCCCTGTTAAACTCTTTTTGATTATGCACCACAGGTAAGGATTCTGGCAACACTTCTCTATGTTCAGTATCCATCTGAATTGGTTCTGTACTTCTGTTTTCTTCTATTTTAACAGCTTTTCTCCATGAGCTCCTAATATCACTTATCAAGTTTTCTGGAGTTCAGGGAACTTGATTCCTTGTTAAGAACAGGTTAGAAACTAGAGAGTCAATTAGTTCCTCTAACATTACTTCTTTTCCTTTAGAAGGTTGTGGTGAATCAGATAAAACTGCCCTTGCAACCTCTTCTACCAGATGACCTTGCTATTTTTGGAATGGATCACTTTTTTAGCTGGCAGAGACCCTCCAAATGCACTACTCTTTGCAATATTTGATGATGAAGAGTCTCCCACTTCAAATTCTGGTGTTTTCTTAGAAACTGTTTCATTTTTCTCTCTAGAAGATGTCAGCTTCCTGTCCTTTTCAAGTAGTGTAACACTGTTTCTATCTGATGGTGAAATGAGCTGTAACAGGAAAGAAGCAGGGCTCTTGGCTAGATCACATTTAGTTTCCAGTATATCACTTGCCCTTCTTGCAACCATTTTCCTGGATATGTTGCTTAGGTGTATCTGGAAGTGAAGCAGGGTATTGCAGAAGAATACTCTTTGTGTATGCTTCTTCTGAGGCAGGATCAAACGAAAGGGGAGACATAGGTGGTAAAAGATCCACAGCTGGAGTCCAACCTTTAATTAGACTGAAAGGAGACAGGCCGAGAAATTCTTTCCAAATTTTATGCCATTCTTCTTGTTTTTCAACAATACAATGTCTTATAGTTGTGAGATCTTCTTTTATTTTATACCTCATATGTTTCAGATCTGACAGTCTTTCTCTCTGAAATTTGGTCTCTTTTTCAAGGAAGTGAAGGTCTATTGTCAGTCTTGCTTGGTCAGCCTGACAATGTTCACATTTCATTACTTTCAAGGCTTCATTTAATAACTGAATAACTGTTAAGAGATTCAATTTTCCAGCCTCATAAACATTTCTTATGTGCAACTGACACATTTGTTTCTCAATTTTGTCAGGTAAGAGCCTTGGAATATTGATAGCAACATTAGTTCCATCTAAAGTATATTGGTTAACAAGACTAAGGAATGAACTAACAACTTCTCTCTCTTTTTCCAAAAACATGAATGTTTCATTCACTGAAGCCCACAAAGACCGAACCTTTTGAATTTTCTCTTGTATATTAATTTGGTCATCATAGGGTTCCATTTTTTTAATTTGGTTTTGCTGTCCTATACATTCTGATCTCAAATTTCGTGCTTGTTTAACTGACAATTGTGCATTTTCCTGGCATTTTGAGGTAACACAATCTTCTCTCTGCAAAATTTGTAAAAATCTGTTACGTGCTACATGGCATCTGGCAATGCACTTGTGCAAATCTTGTGGCTTTACATTAAATGTCTCTGTAAAATGTACAGAATTTTTAGAATGGGTTTTTATATTTTTTATTGCAACAGATCTTGCAAAGTGATACATCAAATGAATAAACTTAGGACCACCAGGAGAAAGAAATAGTGAACCCACAACTGGAGAAAAGCTACTTCCACACTCAGCAGAAATCTTTTTTAACCATTCACAGCAATGTTTTCGGAATTCAGTATCACTTTTTTGGTCAAATGGAGGCCAACAAAGTTTGAACACTTCTTTACTAAGAGACTGGTCAAGCGTTTGAAACAAAAAATAAGAAACTATTTGAAAGGCCTCACAGTTCAACTTGTCAAACATGTTCACTCCGAGGTGCGTGTGCGACACCATCTTTCCACAGGCTACGGTCACCGAGCCCAGCTCGAAGCCGAGTGCCTGCAGATACATCCAGAGATGCTCCTTCTCCAAAGTGGTGACCCAGGCCGAACTCATCTTCGTGGTAGGCAGGGCCCGGCAAAGGAAGAAAGTGCAGGGTCCAGCGACCAAAAGGGCCCCTCAGGCTTTTTCCCTATGGGCAGCCTGACGTGACTGCGACCCCTCCATTGCCACTGCCTGATCCTCTCTCGCCTGGAACCATTTCGCCTCAAATGGCCTCAAATGCCTCAAGTGGCCTGAGACTCTAAAGTCTCAGGGAAATAGAGCCTCTAAGGGTAGTACGGAACAGCAGCCAAAGGGAAGTCCTGAAGGATCCTTTATAAGCTGGTAGCAGTATTAGCCCCCAGGAAAAGGAACTGGAGGGCTAGAGGGGAAAAGCTGATTAAAGACTTACTTTTTACAATTTACCCTTTTGATCTTTTTAAAGATTATAATATGTTCCTGTATTATACAATGACTAAATGATTAAAATAAAGTATATTTCCTACTAATTATTATAAATACATACACTTTTGATTCAGTGATTTTATTTGTGGGAATTTACCCAACAAAGAAACCTAAATATGTACAAGATGACATGGGTAGGTGATTGTTCATTAAAACATTGCTTGTAATACCAAAACCTGGCAACAATACCCATAACCATTAATAGGGCAACAGTGAAATAAATGAAAATATTATATGAATATAAGTAATCTCGATAAATATCAATGAATTAAATGAATTTAACCCTAATTTCCAAAAAACATATGACCAGAAGCTCAATGACAGTATAATTGGGGAAATATAAAGCAAAATATCAATGAAAGAGACTTCAATATCCATTAGATTAACAAAGTATGACAATATCATGTGTTGGTTATGATGTAGGGAAACCGAAACTCTCAAGCAGTGATTTGCCAATCTTTTGTCAGAACCTAAATATCCCCACGTTTTCAACCCATGGGGTCTACTAGTCTTCAACATGGGCTGTCCAAAAGGCCCACTCATCCTCCCATATACCCCCCCAAAAACATCTAACGTTCACTCTTTCAAGAAACCTCCCTGTGCTTCCCTGGTGGCGCAGTGGTTGAGAGTCCACCTGCCGATGCAGGGGACACGGGTTCGTGCCCCGGTCCGGGAAGATCCCACATGCCGCGGAGCAGCTAGTCCCGTGAGCCATGGCCACTGAGCCTGCGCTCCGCAACGGGAGAGGCCACGGCAGGGAGAGGCCCGCGTACCGCAAAAAAAAAAAAAGAAACCTCCCTGGTGGGTACAAGGTGCCTTCCTCACTGTTTGCAGCCGACGTCCACATTTACAGCCCAGAATCCTGATCCCTGTTGCCCTGTCTGCTTTCTTGATCCTCTGGTGTGGGATCTTTTAGTTTCTCTCATCTTTTTCATTAGTGGAATCTACAGCATTATATCCACCAAAGTTTTTATCTGTCCACCTTCAAACACTTGTTGTCCTATGCCTTTGATTCTGCACTTCATGCTTATTGCTTACTGTTATCATTGCTATAGCAGCATGATAGTAGAGTGGGCAGACAACATGTTTTTTTGGGAGATGGAGTGAGAAAGAGAAAAAAAGCAAAGAGCTAACATTTATTGAGCATTAACTAAATGCCCACAACTCTATAAAATTTATTTTTTATTATTAAAAAAAATCTTTGAAAGGAAGGCAATATTATTTTCCCCATTTTACTCATGAGGAAGCCGGTCTCGTTTTTGCTTTTTCTTAAAATTGTGTGTGTGTGTTTGTTTTTTACTTGTGTGTGTGGAGACCAAGGAGGGTTCTGAGCAAAGACAACACTTCTCAGCATTACCAGTGAAGCACTTTTGCGGTTAGATATGATCTCCGTAACCTGACCCCCATCCCTACCCCTCTCACCTCCATGACCTTTCCTCTTACTGCCCTTCCCATCCTAGAGTCATCCAGCAGTCCTGGCCATCTTGGTTTCCTCACACACTCCAGACATGCAGACATTCTCAGGACCTTTGCCCTTGCTGCTTCCTCTGCTTGGAATACCTTTCCCCCCAGTGACTCACTCCCTCACCTCTTGCAGGTCTTTGCTCAAACCTCTCCTCAATAATAACTACTGAACTTAAAACTGTAACTCCCTGTCACAGTCCTCCCTACCGCTCTTGCCTTTTTGTTTTTCTTCATTGCACTTCACTTACCAACATCTGATCAGCTAAATATTTTATTTATTTGTGCACTCTCTGTCTTCCCCACCAGAACGTAAATTCCATAGGACAGGCAGGGACTTTTATCTGATTGGTCACTTCCTATGTCTAGACCATTTCCTGGCACATAGCAAATGTTCAATTAACATCTACCAAATGAAATGAAATAAATGAATAAAGTTTAGGAAATTTTGAGTTAGGCAAAGTTATTCCGATTTCTTAGCTGCAGGAGAAAGTGCCTCTAGTATTCTCATGAGCATTTTCAAGCACCAAGAATAGAATGCATGCATAATTTCCCAAACTTATGTGGACATATAGACCTCTTTTCATGGAGCAGGTCGTAGGGACTTGTGCTTAAATGGAGATAGGTTTGTAAGAGCAGGTTTTGATGAGAAGGGGAAGGGGGAGGACACTAGAATGCAATGTGTCTGAAGTGAAGTGGGAGAAAGCAATTCATTCATTCACTTGTTTGTTCAGAAAATATCTATCAAGTGCACCTGATGGGGCTTGAGCCCTTCCAGGCTAAGGGGACAAGGCAGAGATCAAAAGCCGCTGGGGTCCCAGCTTTCACAGAGCTCATGTCCTCTTCTGACCTCTCTGACTTTGCTGACTGCTTTTAATCCTATAAAACACAGGGGAAAATGTTCCAAGCCTATGTTACTCTCCTTCTAAGACTTTTCTTTCTGAAACAAATACAAATGCCATATGATATCACTTAAACGTGGAATCTAAAATATGACACAAATGAACCTATCTGCGAAACAGAAACAGAATCACGGACATAGAGAACAGACTTGTGCTTGCCAAGGGGGAGGGGGTTGGGGGGAGGGATGGACTGGGAGGTTGGGGTTAGCAGATATAAGCTTTTATATACAGAATGCATAGACAACAAGGTCCTACTGTGTAGCACAGAGAACCATATTCAGTATCCTGTGATAAACCACAATGCAAAAGAATATTAAAAAAGAATGTATATATATGTATAACAGAATCACTTTGCTGTACAGCAGATACTAACACAACATTGTAGATCAACTATGCTCAATAAAAAAAGTTTAAAAAGACTTTTCTTTCTGATTAGAATATATAGAAGTATAATTAATCCCTGGGTGAAGATGCCACACGCATATTTGTGAAGCAACACAAGCTATGGATTTCCTAGCTCCTCTGATTTTATCCCTTCAGGGTCTGCACCATAATCAATAGCCCACCATCTAGAAGGTATGACTGAGGAATCCCAGAGAACCACCATCAACAGAATTGTACTCTTTCATCCTATCTTCCTTCGCAGCAAGGGAGATGATCATAAAGCAGAAGAAAAGGGGCTGGCTAGAATACTAATTGGCAAGAGATTGCTTTATCATCTCCAGTAGCCAATAAATATAAATAAAGAAAGAATTTTATCCTTAAGGTCTTGTCTTCCTGATAGAACAGGGCAACAGCTTATTGTTCAGTGAGTTATTGTACCTAAAATTTCACTCTGAAAATTACTTGTCATGGCAACAGGCAAGCGTCATCCCTGAAGCCAGCTGCCTGAAGCAGATAGATTGTTTCAATTATCTAATTTGCACAGTGAATGAACCCTGCTTATAGGAAATCCATAGGTGGTTGGCAGTGGCAAATGGCAGCTGTGACATGTTGGGAGGCGGTAGATTTATATTCTTTCTCAAAATACAGAGCAGGATTGTAATTTTCTGTAAACATTCACAGAAGTAAAAGGAGGAAGAGCAGGAAGAAGGGAAGAACTCATTATAACTTCCCCTTTTGTCTTGGCTCCTGGGATGTACCTTTTCTTTCCAAATTGCCCTTTCTCTGTGTGTGTGTCTAGTTCAGACAATGCTACATGTAGGCATGGACGCTTTTGCGGTCTATTATCTAACTGGCCCGCCCTCTTCCCACTGTGCCTTTTACAGTGCTTTGGAGGTGTTAGATATATGGCCAGAAAATGTCCCTAAGAACTCCTTGGCTTCAAGGGAAAGTGCTGTTTCACAAAGGAAATTTCCCACCCAGATAGTTGTCCTGGGTTTTGATTAAACCAGGAAGGAGGTTGCCTTGTGATGAGTGCATTCTCACCCTCCGACTCAGCCCTCAGGAGTGTGTTACTCACTAATATGGTCCTTCTTTGCTCCTTCCCACCCTTCCTATCCTAAACAGGGCTGATATAGCTCTACATTTACCTCCCTTTCTCATTTCCCCTATTCTCACCAACCTCTACATATTCTGTTTGTGGCTTTTTTAGGGAAGACAGTTTAAACCAAGATGACTACCAAGAAACTTGGCTTTCCCAAAGCAATGAATCTTCACGGTGGAATTTTAGGCACCAAGAGAATTTTTATGTTGCACTGATATTGGATTTTTTTAATTTCTTTGTTTCTTTTTGTAGCCAGTGAGGGTAAGGCACAAAGCCTTCAGTCACACTGTGTGCAGTCAACCTTTCCAATCAAACCCGGTTCTTAGGAGGACTCTCAGACCTGAAGAAACCTGCCACCCATTCATCCTATACTTTCACTTAGATTCTCAATACTTTCAGAGATTGATTACATTTTAAAACTTCCCATTCCCTGCACTGATTTCTCCCTCCGAATAATCACATTTCCTTTTTCCATGGAAATTTTTTTTTTGGCTGCCTTGGGTCTTCGTTGCTGCATGAGGGCTTCCTCTAGCTGTGGCGAGCCGGGGCTACTCTTCGTTGCAGTGCACGGGCTTCTCGTTGCAGTGGCTTCTCTTGTTGCAGAGCACAGGCTCTGGGCACGCAGGCTTCAGTAGTTGCAGCACACGAGCTCAGTAGCTGCGGCAGGCGGGCCCTAGAGCGCAGGCTCAGTAGTTGCAGCACGTGGGCTTAGTTGCTCCACAGCATGTGGGATCTTCTCAGACCAGGGATTGAACCCGTGT